GATATGTCAACAGAGTTTTATTTATATGTAGTGTTGTTGCAGAACAAGCAACATTTTTCGAAGAGTTGGATTGATTGTAGTATGATAATAATATACGTAATATATTGCTTTACATTTGCCACTGTCTCACTTACTTTTTGAAGTTTTGCAAACAAACCCTGACAATCTGGAACAGTCTACATCGTTCCATGTACCATAGTTGTTGAGTATTATCACACAGTTTTCCTCGTCGTCGGTGTTTGATGGTTCACCTGCGTTCCAGTTAGTGTACTGTATGGGACTTGCATCTAACCAAGACCAACCGTCTGTGAATTGCAAAATATACAAGTCCACATGCAATTGACACGATACGACGATTTTGTCCAGATACATGAATGCAGGCAATTATAAAATACATTCCGCTCATCACCACCACGACAACACATAAACAAGATTACAAATACTCATGTGACGCCGTGTTAACTGGAAAATCATGTTTATATATCATTGTACAAATCAAACAACAAACTTACTGTAAGATTTTGAAAGTCCAATATACACATTCTCGTCTTGTAGATGACTAAAGATAAAATTATCTTCTTGACCCTGGTGTATTGTTGCTAAATTCGAACCCATTCTGTCGCACTCGAATTGGGATTCAAAAAATGTCTTGATAACATTGACACCTCCGAAGTAATAACAGTCACTTCCGTAATGCACAAAGCCCATCGGGCATTCTCCTTCTATGTGGTCAGGGGTTGTCGGATGTGGTTCTGTCAGAAAGACATAAAAACATATGTATTACGTTGTTCGATTCGAAAATATTGACCAAGGAACACATAATCTGTGTCCAGGTAAGTCTAAAAAAATATATTCCACAGTCGTATTCAAAGTTACAAAATTAGTTACAATACGTTGCCGCTTTCACATACCAAGATATATTTTACATATAGCACCAGTATTACTTTCACAGTTTGTATCGATCCACTCAGTGGTTGTACTCTGTACACAACCATTGTCATTTGGTTCGTTGAATGCCCAACTGGTGGAAAATACTGGGGCACCATCAACCCATTTGTATTCGGCAGACTGTAAAAAAAACAATAATAAAACGGTGCCATAAATTAAATGATGTTATTTTCCATATGAATATTGTTACATTGCGAGATAGTATATAACATTTATTTTTATCATAATAAAGACATGAAACGTTCGTAGAGATAAGACTCTTTTTACGGGCGAAAAATGCATGATTATATTACCTAGATATGGGGAAATTTAATGATTGCTGGCTTAATTCTATGCATTTGTCATGAAACGTGTAAATATTTGGTTGCTACGTTACCAATATATTGAATAATTACCAAGAACTACGATTACCTACTATCATTTTTAACATATTCATTATCTATGGTCAATATCTGTATAAGTCACGTGACTGGTCTTTTCACTTTAGTCACTGCAGTGATTATATTGTCAAAACAAATGAATTACGGTGTGTAATTGTACCGAAATTAGACGAACGACAAGTAGATGACGTTGTATATGTACTTTGAGCCGAACATCTCATCGTTGTAAAACTATTGGCGGTATTATGAATGAGTGTAGTCATACAAAAGCTGTGGTGTGTTGTTTTTCTTTTTGGTGTCATAATTTTGTAAGTTTATTCGGAACAACAATATGATTTTTCAACTAATATGACATCAAAGTGATTACGTCAATGGTACTGTTGTTAATGACCGGCTTAATGTCGTCAATACAATATGATAATGCGCGGGTCCAATATTCCAAAATTATCAAGTTAGAATGTGCATATTTAAAGTGAAATAAGCCGGACCGGCGAGCAGGACTTTTAGCTGGTCTACATTGACAAAGAATAAGATTTAGTTTATATATATTTTTTAGTCAAATGCATGTAAGAGTGTGTGGTGTATAGCGATGTGTAAGGATATAAAATAGGCTAACCTCTTCTTGATACGAAAGTCCGATCCACAACGGTGTCTCCGCATCATATACCAGTGTGTCAATAAATCCTTGCTCGTAGACATCAAGTATACTTGCCAAATTACAACCTTCACTGATGCAAATATCATTAGCAGTATCATGTGTGTGGGAGGACGTCAACACTTTGTAACAGCCTAGGTAGTATTGCACATACCCTTCTGGGCAATTGTGGTCCGGTGTAACTGGCGGAGGGGCCGCTGGGTAAATTAAAAAATGACTGGTCGTCTCACACTTACGTAATATCCGTTTGGTTCACTAGCTGCCCAGTTAGTGTAGTCTACGGATGAGCCATCAGTCCATGCGTATGTAACACTAGTTGTACGATCGTTAGACCAATCCACAATGTAAATAACATGCCACGTAAGTTGCTGGTTAAAAATGCTTAAAATTAAAAGTAAAAAAACATATGTTAACTATCAGTGAATCCACACTTGCAGACTAATAAACCCTAATATTTACATGCAAAGGTCATTAATGTGTATTTTTTTTTTGCAGATTGTTAATCTCAACAACAACGACTCGTCTTCTTGACTTTTGGAAATCTAACTTCGAATGGTTTATCAATATATTGCGATTTGTCTAGTTTGTTATGTAAACAGTATTTATATTGTGTCATTTTCAATCACTAACTCGTGCAATAACTAAATGTGCCGTATAAACATGTTGTTAATGTGACCAACACTGAAAATGTCACTTACATTGCATAGCTTGACTGTGTATTGTAGCTAGATCTCCTCCTAGATCTCTACAAACAGTTCGAGCATCTTTCCAAGATAACGAATCACTCCCATCGCCGCCGAAAATTGTATAACATTTGCCTTCAAACTCGATCCATCCTCCGCTGGGACAGGGTCCAGGCATTGGCGTGGTCGGCGCATACGTCACAGGGTTGGTGGTGTGGTTGAATTTCTTACATATGAACGGGTAAGCATACGCACAGTGTGCATCATTCCACGTCGCTGCGCATAATATAAGAACAGTGACTCAATATATGCAGCCAACGAACAATGCTATTTAAATGAATCAACCAGGCCCTATGCACGCATCAAACTGACAATGGTAAAATGCGCGAGTAAACACTCTTCAAACAGACTTTTGGATGAAGAAAATATATTTATCATACGGGTCTGTGAGATATTGTATAAATGTATAAACTCTTGACGTGTTATTATTTTCATTTCGTTTATTCCTTGAAAAATACAACTTCAATTGAGCTTTATTGTGTATTTGTCCTTATCAAGTCCAATGTCAATCTGACTATCAATGAAAAACTGATGGCAGATTACTTACAAGTATTCAGCTGCTATCCCATATTCTCGCAGACCTATCCAGTACTGAATGTAATGTGAACCTCTTATCTAAATTGTATGAAGAAAAAATATTTGTGAAAACAAATACACATTTCTGCTGGTGAGGCTGGTGTTGTATATGTAAATTTAAAGCTGGGAGTCGTCAGCTGCGCATGCGTCAGATGGCTATAGCTTGTCAG